CCAGTGTAGAAGTCAGCTTCCTCACTTAAAACACACACCCCAATTTTGGTTAGCTAATTTTTAGGGATAAAAAAGTGTGTAGTATGCAATATAGCATATGGCAGTAAATAACATTTGTGTGTACAAAAGCACTAGAAATATGCACAAAAGTACGAGCAGATGTTTATGCCCACAAAGAGACAAAATAATAATAATTCCTACTACTGTATTTATTCAAATATAACAAAGATTTTTCCTTCAGTTAGCATGAGGGAAAAAGCCCCCTGTCTTATAATTGCATACAAGGAAATCTTACTAAACACACTATTATTAAACTACTGCCAAAAGCAGCATGTGCTCAGCAATGGAAACCAACTATGAAGTTGATTAAACATAGCCAAAACTGAGCATGACTATAAAACACATGGATCAAGTCCAGAGCCCACATTTTGGGCAAATGTGTTGATGGGAACCTATCAGAAGAACAGGTTAGTGTAGGCCATCTGCATAAAACATATGGTAGTACCCATTAAGTGCAGTCTCCATCACCACTAACTCTTTTCCAAGTCACCGTGAGCCACAATATTACATACAATTCACCCAGAATCTGTCACCCACTCTCTCAGCCTGGCATGTATGATTAGTGTGGGCCTCCCTTCAAGGAGGAGAAGCTGCACAAGATTTCCCTGCACCTCATCTGAATATATGTTTTTGGAGCATCCCAGGACTTGAGACAAGAACACCTGGTTACAACATGAGTGGGCCCTAATTATCACATGGATCCTTGGGGGGGCCAGTATCTAGAATGTACACACATACTGAGCAGTGCTGAACTATGTGGTCACTGTAGCTTGAAACACTGTTGACTTAGTTGGGGGCGAGCTCAATGAACTATGTGGTAAATCATGAGCCTTTGGACTAATATCACACACAGTTTGTACTATATATAAGTAGATGCCTGGCTAGAACTCATAAAACCTCATTCTCAGGTTTACCACTGGCCTGTTGCTGGTGATCTAAGGGAAATCACTTCTTTCCCATGTGCTCCTGTTTCCCTCTTTAGAAAATCAGGATAATGGTTTTCAACTTTTTTGCTAGGTATTAGGAGATCTTGTTGTGAAAAGTGCCATATAAAAAACTGTATTTACTCAACTATAAAACATGACCCCTCCCCAATAATTAGATTCTATATATGAAAAATTTATAAATGTGTCATAATTTTTCAGGTATAGAATCTAATTATTGGAGGGTTGTCTAGAATTTGTTCCCCTCCCACTGATACAGCAGGGAAAATAGGTCTGCAGGGGTCATCTGCCCCCACAACTTCTTCCCCTGCCCCTTTACCACCTTACTTTCAGACCCTGAGCACATGGAAGTGAGGGACAAATCTGAAAACAATGACTTTGAAATAAACATGCGTATAATTTAGTTCATCCAGAACTTATGCATTTTACCTTTTTTTTTTTTTTTTTTTAAACACTGCTGTAAATTTAAACACAGGTACTCTGTAAACACACTTTTAGGAAATTCCTTTTTACCTACTTATATTTGATACAAACTATGCATGACTAGTCCAAAGCCAAAAGGCTCACGATTTACCATATAGTTCATTGGGCTGGGCCACAGCCGAATCAATAGTGTTTCAAACCATGATGACCACATTGTTCAGCACTGCTCAGTATGTGCGTGCACTTCAGATACCACCCCACAAAGGATCCATGTGCAAATCTGCCCACCAGTCATGACTGGAACTGGGTGTTTTTGTGACAAGTCCTACGATCCTCCAAAAATGTACATGCAGATAAGTTACAGGGGCACCTTGTCCAGCTCCACCTCATAGAAGCAGACCCCACATCATGGAGGGTGGGGCCACACTAATCATATGAGACAGGCTGCCAGAGGAGGTAACAGAAAGATGCTCAGTGAACTGTTTGGGACCTCATAATGTTTGCCAAACATCTAAGGCTGGTGAAGAAACAGGAATCATTGGAAATAGGAAAAGAAAGGCTCAGTTCACCTGTGAGAGTGAAGATGAAATTGAAATGTACTCAGTGTAGTGGTTCACCATGACTTGAAAGAGAGTCAGCACTGAGGGGGACTAAGTACAATGGGCATTACCCAAAAAGATTACAATGCATCTTGTTCAGATGGGCTGGCTGCACTAACCTAGCTTTGTGGTAGGTTCCCATCAGTTGCCTGCCTAACATGGGCCATGTGTTTTATACTCATGCTCAACTTTGGTTGCACTTAATCAGTTTCATAGTTGGTTTCTATTAACTGCTTTTGGTAGCAGTTTGATGATCACCCATGTATTTAATGAGGTTTCCTTGCATGCAAATATAAAACATGGGGCTTTTTTCCCCATACTCATTGGGGAAAAAGACCTTATTTTATATTCAAGTAAATACAGTATTTGAAAGCACAGACTAGGTAATGTACATTTTATATCCAAGTTTAAGCAATGTTATTTTTCGTAGGAAAAAATAAATTCACTAACACATCTAGCCTTATTACCAGGGATCTGGGTTTTCCATTTCCCACAGAAAAACAGAAAACCATGGATTCCCTGTTTTTAAATCGGGGAAAACTTGGATTTCCTTTTTTAGCAGAGAAATCTGCAGATTCTTCGCTTTGGCAAAGAGCTTTTGCAGGCTGGAACAAGCCTGCAAGAGCTGATTGCAGAAAGGGCAGGAAATCCCCAGCCCTGCCCGGAAGGGAAGGGAGAGGGTGGTGCCTGAGCCTCTGAGTCAGCCAAGGCTGGGCTCAGGCTCAGACTTGCCCTTTGCCCCTGGATCCTAGAGGTAAGTGGGGCTTGGGGGCTGTGCAGTAGGGCTGGGTAAGGTGGCTGGGGCAGGCTGAGGGAGTGGGGGGTGCTGCCCTCCCCAGGTGGCACACTGCAACCAGGTGCAGGGCCGGGGGGTGAGGGCAGGGGTGCCCCTCTGCAGGGGGCTTTGCGGGCAAGCGATGGGGGGCGCACATGCCGCCTGGCCAGCTGTCCAGGGGAAGGGGAGGGGAAGGCTTGCATGCAGCCGGCTGCACAGCTGGCTGGCTCTGCAGTGGTGGTGAGGGATGCTGGCTGGGGGGGCAAGGGGGGCTTGCACAAGGCGACTGCTGCCGCTTACCTGTGGGGCTGTGCCAGTGCAGATATCCGCTGCATACAAAACCTCCCCGCGCCG